AACTATATGTGATGAAAGCCATGGACAAAGATGAGTCTCTTCAACTCTTTTCTAAGAAAGCATTCAAGAAAGATCATACTGAAAAGATTATTTGGAGCTGTCTGAATCTTTGGTTGCAATTTAAGAGACTTCCTTTGGCACTAAAAGTTTTGGGTTCTTTTCTTTGAAAAAGAAGTAAAGATGAGTGGACCGATACTTTAGATAAACTAAAGCAAAATCCAAATAAAGATATTCTTCAAATACTTAAAATAAGTTATGATGGATTAGATGAGAATGAAAAGACAATATTTTTGCATATGCTTGCTTTTTCAGGGGATGGAGAAAAGATAAAGTGACCCAAGTTTTGAAGATTGTGATCTAAACCCAACAATTGGAATAAATGTCTTGATTGAAAAAACTTCAGTTGAAACAAAAGATCCTTTTGGTCAGAAATATCCCACTTTAGAAATGCATTATTTACTTGAAGATTGGGCAGGGATATATCCTTCGAGAATCTCCCAATCCTGGAACTGTAGCAGGTTGTGGGAGTTTGAGGACATTAAGGAAGTGTTGGAAAATAATAAGGTGAGTACTGTTTTTATTTCTAAATATTTCATTTTGTTGTGATACATCTGTTATTTTTAATATGCCTCACTTCCTTGTCATTTTCCATGTTAATTTTTCTGGTAATGAACACTTTTATTAGGGATCTCGAGCAATATGAGCTATTGTGTTATGCGAGGACATTATTCTTGGAACTCAAGAAAAAAAAAAAGAAGTGCACCCCAATGCCTTTTTAACGATGAGTTATATTAGATTACTAATAATACGGAACTATGATGATCAACTCATCTTGCCAAGGAGATTGGAACTTCTAGCGCATTGAAATTTTAAAGATGAGTTATATTAGATTACTCATAATACAGAACTATGATGATCAACTCATCTTACCAAAGAGATTGGAACTTTCGAGCGCATTGAAAGTTGTTTGCTGGCAACAATTCTCTCTTGAAACTCTCCCACTTTCCTTGGATAAAATTGTAGATATTGAAATGCAATATAGCAAAGTAAAGCAATTTTGGAATGCTACACAGGTGAGATCAACACTCCATGTAACATCATCTATTTTAAAATTATATCTATGTGTCCATGTTTATTCATATGTTGTTTAGTAAGGCTAACTCTCCTATCTTTTATTTGTCTAGTCAATGGAAAAGTTGAAACATATTGATCTAAGATATTCTCTCAATTTGATCGAAACTCCGGACTTCTTAAGTGTTCCAAATCTAGAACATTTATGTCTTATTGGCTGCAAATCCCTTGTCAAGGTTCATACCTCACTTGGAAAGTTGAAAAGACTTGTCAAGGTTGACTTCAGTGAATGTATCATTCTTGAAATCCTACCAAGAAAATTAGAAACGAATTCTTTGGAAAGTTTAGTTCTACGTGGGTGTGGAAATATTGTGTGCTTCCAAAGTTTGGGGAAGACATGAAGAAACTATCATATCTTGATGTGAGTGGCACTGCTATAATTACATTTCCGGAATCACTTGGTTCCTTGACTGGTCTTGAATATTTGAATTTGAGTGGCTACAAGTTGTTGAAGACTCCCATGAATTGCCAAATTTTTGGCTTGAATCTTAGGTTGTTAATAGAGTTATATTTACACAGTTGTGGCTTAAATGATGGATCATTCCTAATAATATTAGTGGTTTATCATCACTCATTGTATTGGATCTTAGAGCAAATGATTTTGTTAATCTGCCCACGGGTTGCTTCTCTAGTCTATTTCGACTTCTCTATCTTTTTTGGATTATTGTGTAAGACTCAAGTCATTGCCAAGGCTTCCAGCACAGTTGATTTGGTTAAGTGCAGTCGATTGTGATTCAATGGAACCTTTATCAGATAGACAATTATGGTATTTGGTTACTTCACATGACCATGAGGTATGTATGTCTTCCTACAATCTATATGATTAATGATTTATGCATATTTTTTAATTATATATGCATAACATAATTAATTATTTATTTTAGTTTCGTCGGTGAATTCAGTATGTAAATGCTGATGAGAGGCATGATGATAGTTTTTTTTCATCATTGATGTTCAAGTACGTTATGGTATGACAATTTTTTTTTTTTTTTGGTGTATTATAGGGACATGCTCCCATTAAGGGTATAATCAATGTGAATAACAGTTTAGTATTGGTGCAGCCGGAATGTTTGCCCCAAAGAGATTTTGTTGCAATTATGCCAGCTAGATGCCAAATACCATCGTGGTGTACAAATAAAGAATATTATCCTTTTGCCTCCATGTCTTAGGCTGGGCCGGTGTGATTTTGGTGGAGTAGTAAAGCTGCAGAAGATGATGACTATTATGCAAAGAGTGGGCGCATGCTATTTACCGTGGGCATAATGTTGCGAGTCCTCAACTGTGCATAATGGTGTTGGAATTAAATGAGAAAACATGTTGGCAACATCTAACACCTCATAACAATTCCCTTCACATTTTACTTTCTACTAATTACTCTACAATTGGTGGTGAGATGAAATATTGGGATGTGGTTGGCGGGTGATATGTAAAGAAGAGATGCAAGAGTGTTGCCATCTCAATCATCTCACCCAACCACCACTACATCCAACGCCTCATCAGGTCATGCTTTCATGGACCGTCCTTGACCAAGTAGCTAAACTAGTGTATTCAAAAGATAGAAAAAGACAATGTATCAGGTAACAATGACTCGCCCTCTTCTTCCTACCCCCTCCCTCTCTTCTACTTTTATTTCAACCATTCTTGCAACTACTTACTTTTCTTTAAACTTGCTGAAAATCATTCACAGGTGACCTGCCCGGGTTATGAAGTACTAATGAAGGCGATACAAGGATGATCGCGTGGTTTTTCATATTTAGCATTATGCATTCAGCTATGAAGTAGAATTAATTCAAATGATTTGAACAGGCTTTGGACTGAGGACAATGAGCAGGACGAAATGGACGTGCTTTTATTATTGTTGTTACTTTTATTTTGCCTTCTCTTCCATTCATTTTTCCGAGATGAAATTTATGTTATATCAAATTTAACATTTGTTCCAAACATTGAACACCTCAATCATTTATGTTAATAGTTGAATAAATATATTTTCATTTCATATTCTAACAATTTATTTAGTATAAATGCTTAAGTTTCATCTGAACAACTAAAAGAATGAAAGAGATGATGGACAGGAAAAGCAATCGTTCAAGTAATTAATAACTTGAATATGTGAGTTAAAAGTGAATGAAATTTAGAAAACACCCCAGTTGTTAGGTACGAAACTTCAACAAAACAACAAAATGTTGGCAATTATTTGACATGAAATTAATGCTTTGTTCTTGGGACAATAAATGTTCATACTTGTTTATCATTTCTTTATATAGTCCCTCCATTTCTATATATATAAAAAATTATATCATACAGTTTAAAAAAGTTAGTTAACCATAATAATTATGTCTAATAAAAAAAATTGGAGTAAAATGTCCTATGTTAACCAACATAAGCATGTATTAATTATTTCTTATTAATATAAATTATGAGGGATGATTTAAGAAATGCGCAATAAATACTTATTGAAATATCTAATTTTCCTTCCATAAAATATAAGTTCAAAGTGATAGTGTATCCTATAAATAGAAACAAGGGAAGTATTTTATTAGAAAATACTAAAACTTTCACTCCCCTTCCTGTACTTTTCATTTAATCAGTCTCCCTCACTCAAAATGCTGGTTTTCAATTTTCATTATAGAATTAATGATGAGAGATAAATAAGTTGGGTGGAACGTAAAATGGACTCTCTTAATAGTTTTAGTTTTAGTTTGGTCATTCTTTCCAATTAAAACTATGTAATAAAAAATGATCGACTTGTCTGAAGCAAAATTTCTCTTCTCAATGCTTGTCATAAAAGAAATTTAAAAATAAATATTTTCATAAAAAAATAGCAATAATAGATGACGGCGTTTCTTTTTCGGATGAAATATCAATGTATCAACATATATATATATATATATATACATTATTCTTATTAAGGAACCAAAAAGCACAATTGTTTCAAGTCATTTTCCGTCTCATTAATAAAAAACACTTTTTAGACAACCAGACTATACTTATCCAGAACCATTGATGACCAAATGACAATCTCCTATATGCTGAACCAACGAAGGAACAGCACAAGTGTTCCATGAATGTTTTGTATTATGTCTGTATGGACCTTTAGACTGATTGCTCTAGAGGCCTTTTTTTCACAGACGGTACAGTATGAATCAAATGACCCTCAGCTCTTGGGTTCAATCCCTGAGCTGATGGAAATACAAAAATATGGTTGGAATTGGAAGAGCCATCTTATTTGGAGCCTCTCAATGCTCGAATTAGGAATAATCGGGATTATTGGCTTCGGATACTAAATAGTTATAAAGGGGAAAAAAAAAAGACCCTCATGAGTGTTATTTAGCTCGCATGTTAACCACTGAGATTATGTTGATTCATAAATAAAACATCGGGTATCATAATTTATTAGTATTTCTTCATGGAAAAAAATTATCATGCAAGTGCAAAAAAATTAATTTATATTCTCTCTCATTCTATTTATAAGGCAGAAAGAAATAAATTTTTTTATCATATTATAAATTATGACATTAATTTCTTATCATAATTTTCTAATCTGAAAACGCTCCAGTTGGCTTACCTACAATAGAGTTTTAGAAGTGCTCGTGTATATTTTCAAAGCTTTTTCAAAATGCTTTGGAAGGGTGAAATTAAATGTTCCAAAAAGCTATTTTTGTTGTAGTTTGTCCATTAAATATTGGTGAGAAAAAATATATTATCAAAAATATATTTAATAAGGATAAGATTAAAAACTTATTAAATTTTAGTCATAATTAATGAGGTCTAAAGTTTCTTTTTAATTTTAAAAAAACATGTTAAAAGTGATTTATAGATAGAATCAAATGAGTGTATCTAAAAAATACGAGTGATAATTTATTCACGTAATCCTTAAAAATTATAAATGTAAAAATATGGGCAGTCATTTGGACTTCTTGCCTGGCCTAATTCATCTGGACTAACATATATAACATGGCAGTGCATGCATGTGATAAACAATGACTAAAGAGCTTCTAGAGGGCAAAATAGCCATTGAACAACTCCTAATGCACTAGAAGGGCATTTGAGAACATTGGGAAGTTCCAATCTTCTTCGAATGATGAGTAATCTGAGATTAAACAACTTCGAAAAGCATGAGGTTCCAATATACTTCAGGATCATCCCGTCGTGAGGAATCTAACACAATGCTTTGTATTGCTTCAGTTCCCTGATAACAATATTATGAATTCCCATTATAATAACATGAGAATGATAAGGAAGTAAGACGCATGAAAACAAGATTTAATTAAATAAAGAAGCACTCACAATAGTATTTTCCAATACTTCATCGATGTCCTCGATCTTCCACGGTCAACTGCGTCTGTAAGCAATGCTAGGAGATTCTTGATAAATTATATTCCTGCCCATTTCTTGAAATAAATCATGCATCTCTAAACGGCATCTTCCAAAATCAGTATGGCATTCAACTAGCAAAGTTTTTTCAATGAGGATACTTATTTCAATGAAGACCAATATTTTCAAAATTTGGAATACTTCATCTTTTTCCCATCCCTTGAAAAAGCATGCAATATCCAAGAATATTGCCTTCTCTTCATCATTTAATCCATCATAGCTTATTTTAAGAATCTGAAAAACATCCTTATCTGAAATTTGTCTCAATCTGTCTTAAGCATCTTCCCACTCAAGTACACTTCTTCCACGAAGAAAAAACCTAAAACCTGAAGCGCCAAAGGAAGACCGCCGGCATATTCAACCACAGATTTAGACAACACCACATATCCCTCCTTAGGATGATCTTTTTTAAATGCTTTCTTTGAACAGATCTGGAGAGATTCATCTTCTTTCATGGGTTCCATCTCATATATTCCATGAACTCCATGTGAAGTCAACAAGTGCTTATCTCTAGTTGTTATAATTACTCTATTACCCTCGCTAAACCACTCTGCATTAACGGCCAAATTATCCAATTGACTCATGTGATTTATATCATCAAGAACAAGTAGAACCTTTTTATTCCAAAAGTATTTTCTTATTTCCTTCTTCCTTCAAACTCATTCTTAATTTTCATATTACTTACATGTGAAAGAAGCTCTCTTTGTAAATAAACTTTTCCTTTTCTTTTAGAAGTTTCTCTAACATAAGAACGAAAACAACATATTTCAAATTGGTGAGAGATGCTTTCATAAACAACTCTAGCAAGAGTTGTTTTACCAATACCGCTCATTCCCCATATTCCTACAAAATGAACATCGCCCAACCCTATCTTCAAGAGTGAATTTATTTCAACTATCCTTGAGACTTATTCCAACTAAATTATAATCATCATAAGATGGCAATTTAGAACATAGTTTGCTCCATATTGCTTAAACAACGTCTTGGATAACTTGTGTTTCAGGCCTAAAAATATAAAGAATAAATGAGCACAAAATGAGTTATAAAGAGCTATAGTGCAGGGAAAAAAGCTTTTCACAGCCGTCTTGGACAACTTCTATTGTATCACGTTGTTCTGTTTCTATTTAACTATTTTGCAAGAAATAGTTAAACAGAACAACGTGATATAATAGAGAAATTTATCGTTAAGCAATCTTTTTTTTTTCTTTTTTTCTTTTTGACTGTGAGTTAGGAAACAAGCCGAGGGACACTTCAGAAAATAATATAATCACGGCGAAAAACAAGGAATAAGCCTAGACTTTTTGATCTATTGATGCATATCCATTTAAATCGAAATATCCAAATACATTCATAATTTTCGTGAATAGTTTGGATTATACAAGGTTTCTCTCACTCTCTCACACACACATATGATTTATGAGTCATGGATTATCTTTTTTGAGTTTAAACCATATTAACTTAATAAAAAATGATTAAACCACGATATGAAAGAAAACTTACCGACCCCTCGTGTCCCAACCTTACAAATTGCTAATTTCCATCAAAGCATTTTTCCATTTCTGCAGTTTGTCTTTGCTTCCTTTAAATCTCTCTTCATGTTTAGCTAAAGCTAATGCAAAATTTTTCTTGAATGCCTTACATCGGACGGATCTGCACCATAAAAATAGGGAAAAATTGTTTATTTCTACAGTCAATGATCTTTTGAAGTTCATTTGCACCATACAGAATTTGCATAATTTTGAGAGAACAACAGCAATGAGAGAGTCTTCAATTGCTTGAAATAATTGTTGCGATATGACTTCTCTTTCTATTCCTTTATCATCCTTAAAAGCACGTATGCCACTTTGACTAAAAGCGGAACACAAGTGACCTGTAAAATTCAAGCGAGTATCTTTTCCTGCAAAACAAAAACAAAAAACAAAAAACAAAACATCATATTTCCATTTATTTTGGAGTTGAATTCGAAGAGCTTGAAAATGATTCTCCTTTGACCCTATACGCCATTGCAGTGTTTTGATTTCTTGGTTGTGTCTGAATCGGAATCTGCAACAACATATTCGATCATATCACTAGTTTTGAAGGAAAAGAAAAAAAAAATTGGATAAGAAATCAAAACTAGTGGGTATAATATACTGGAGGAAAAAAATGTTACGCAGGATCAGTAATACAATATGCAACGAAAAATATTATTAGTGTTGCAGAGACCATACTTTCTCTTTGCTCAATGGTTTGATCTGGAGTCAATGAACTACGTCGTCGCGCTGGAGAGTGATATCAGGAATACATGGAATATCTTCACTTCCCTTGACTCCACTTTTGTCTGTACTCTCTGGTACTCTTTATTAAAATAAAATTAAATCAAAATCAATGACGTGTCTGAGATAATTTAAAATTATGGCCACAACAACCGAATTTTTACCAGCTTGGAAAACATATTATAATATTTCTTAGTCTAAAAAGTAATTACTCAACTGAATGAGAATCTTATCCTGTGATGACAAAACCACATCACTTTCTCTCGAGCTCAATGCTGTATGATCTAAAGTCAGTGGACTACAATCAAAAGTGAGGAAATAAAAGGAAGAATTTGATTAAAGTCCATTGAATCTGATATAATTTCAATCAGGTCTTATATTTTTTTTTTTGACAATTTCACTGCAAATTAGAAGGACTGAAATGAAATAAATTCTTTTGCTTAACTGACCAAAATGTTTTTAAATTATAATTAGTATTACTAAGATAATAAGTCAACTTACAGCTTTTACAAGTAATATTAATAAAATAACGAGTCAAGTTATGAGTTTATAAGTAACTTTAATATAGTGAACGTAAATTCTTGTTATTCTCATAATATTACTTGTAAAAATTGTAACTTAACTTGTCATTTTAATAATATTACTTGTAAAAATCATAACTTGACTTGTTCTTATAACAATATTACTTGTGAAAATTGTAACTTGCCTTCTTATTTTACTAATATTACTTATAAAAATCATAACTTGAATTGTTATTTTGGTTATATTACTTGTAAAAACTATAACTTGACTTGTTAATATTATAATAATGTTACTTGTAAAAATTGTAACTTGACTTGCTATTCTAGTAATATTACTTGTAAAAACAATAATTTTACTTGTTATTTCAGTAATATTAATTATAATCAAAGGGAATTTTGATAATTTAATAAGAGAATTTATTTCATTTCAGTACTTTGGGCCTACAGTAAAATTTCTAAATTTTTTGGGACCGGATGAAATTATGTCACATTTAAAGGACTTTAATGAAATTCTCTCAAATTAAAACCATGTGTAAGTGTGTGTAGAGTGAAAGGTGGACTTTTTGCTTCCACTACCATTAATCAAGAAAATTTTATATTAATTACATCTGTAAAGTTGCTAAAATATCATAGTCAAAACATACCCTTCGATATGAAATGTGAGGCTAAGATTAGGTGTAAAATGAAATTAATTATTGAAAGCAGGTGAACAAACTCTTAGCATTCATACAAGAGGAAAAGACAAGAAGAAAATGAAGAGTAACAAATGGGATGAATTGAAATGAATGCACAAATGTTTATGTAGTTATTTTAAATAAAAAAAATTAAAAAGTGATGCATCATGGGGATGGAACCAATAAGGCACAATTTCCTTATGCTACGTTTGGATAGATGTGGGTTTGGATTTAAATTTAGATTTAGGAAAGATTTCCTATTTGGGCACTTAAAAGTTCATTATCCAAATTTTATTATAATTTAAAATTCTTTCTAAACTTTTGTTATTTCAAATCTTCATGTGCACCTTCAAAAGCTGAAACACTACTTAATACCAACAATCCAAATATTACCTTTAATTCATTAGGGTTGGACTCCACTTTTGCCTCTACCATCTCGTCTAAATCATTGTTGCTTCTCAAGGAAATATCGATCACACCAAATATTCATTTGCCACTTTAGGTATAACATGAAATAATTTTATATTAACTTATATCGAATAAAGTTTTCCGAATTCATATATAGAGAAAAAGGCCCGATTTTCAATTACTTACTACTTTTACTCTTAATCACCTAGTCACCTTGTGGTGTAGAGATGGGTCATTTTATGTTTACTTTAATTCAAAATTTTTTACTGAAATACTCTCCTTTTCAAATATTTTATTAATAACAATAGTTTGTTATAGAATAAATAATATATAAAGAATTCACATATATTGATTTATTAATTTAAAACGAGCACCCTACGTCTATATAAAGTCAAGTATATAAGTTTTTTTTTCTCACATATACATACATATATATATATATATATATATATTAAGTCTATACTATATGTATCATGCCTAAAAAATTAGGCAAAACTGGCATGAGATATATGTATAAGCTTACAACCCTAATGCCTTAATTAAGAAAATCCCAAATTTATACATTGGACACACTATTAGCATAATTATACATACCTAGTTTTACTTGTCACATAAATCAAAATATCAAACTTTTGTAAAAATTTAGCAACACCTTCCCTATAAATAGGAACTTTGGAAATCACTACAATAGAAATTTTACAAAAAAAAAACAATCAGAATGTGGAGCTTAGCTCCTTAGCAGCAAATGAACAATATAATGAAAGGTCAGGACCCTAGCTATAATCAACGTGGAGCACCCTGAATAGAGTTAAAAAAATAATATTTATATTTTAGAATTTATATCAAAAGGAAAGGCATTTCCAAAATAAATATCTATCTAGCACACTTGAAAGCCCCTCAGTGATCGGTAGTAGGTTCAGCACTGGCTAATGAATGTAAGAACAAAATATTTTTTAGTGAACAACATTCCTAATAATAAAATTTAAAAGAGTAAAAATAATAAACTCAAGCAATTATGTAAAATAATTGAAAGAATGATAATTCAATATAATAAATTCACTTAATCTAAAAATCATAATCATAGCCATAAAATGAGAGTGAACTAAAATTACTTTATTCCATTGTACTTGAGAAAGCAAATGATTCATATGTGAATATAAATAGTACACTTAATTGAAACCATTGAAATTTCAAATATACAAGTTGTCATGCCCCGAAAATAGAGGATGACTAGCACAGGTGCGAACAATATCATGCATTCCCATAAGCCTCAAAAAGAAAATTCATTTCATCATTTTTTTTTATCAAGTCATATGAAAATTCTAACACTTTTAATACAAATTGTCATAGCAAAACTTCAATGTTTTTGTAAAAATTTAGCAGAACCTCCTCAGTAAATAAGATCTTCCAAAAATTCTACAATATAAAATTTTTTTTCACAAAATATAATATCAATCAGGAGCTTAGCTCCTTCCAGCCAACAAACAATATATAAAACAAAACAAAGTCCTAGCAACAATTTATGTGGAGCAACTAATCCTTTTTTTAAAATCAAAATACATAAGACTTAAATATTTACATCAAAAGGTAATAATATGAAATAAAATTTTCACCCAATATAGCTGTATTGTCCTTTTGAGATCGGCAGTAGAATTAGTGTTAGCTAATGAATCTGAGACCAAAATAAATTTTCTAGTGAATAGCATCCCCAAAATAGAATTAAAATAATAAAATAATAAACTCAAATAGTTATGCAAGATAATTGAAAAAAAATGATAATTCAACATAATAACTTCACAAATTTATAAATCATAATCATAACTATAAAATGAGAATGAATTAGAAATATCTTGGTTAAAGAAAACAATTTACTCATACACAAATCAAATAGTACACTTGTTAATTGAAATTATTGGAAAATATGTGAAATGGGCAACTAGCTTTGGAAACTTTCCTTTGTTTTCATTATGCCTATGTGTGTGATATTGAAATGAAAGCCAAGATCTTATCTTATGATATATGTAAATATGATTATGATTGTTAAAATGTGAATATGGAACATGATTGTGATGCATACCTATATACCTATGAGGGTAGGAGATTTACCCTAGGTATGGAGTAGTGAAAAGACCATATGGTATCCATTGACATTGTTAGTGGCCTTGATGCTTAGCCTTTTATTTGTTTAGAAGTTCTAGCTCACCGCATGTGGCGGTAGTTAAGTATGCAACACCTTAATTATCCGCAAAGGGGAATTTGTGGTTTGGAAGTGGAGTGTTATCTTGATCAAGTTAGTGTTAAGAAGGTTCAAATAGAAGTGGAAGCATGCATGTGTAAATTGTGATATAAATGTATAATGTGTTATGCTTTGATTATATATTATACTATTTTCTCCTACTTTATATACTCATTTATGTTTTAGCTAGTTGATAGATATTGTAGTTTATCTAGTTATTAGAACCCTATCTTACCTTGTGTTACATATTTCGAGGTGACTTAGCTGATAGGAGCAAAAGGGAAAGTGAATAAGGCAAAGAGTAGAGTAGAGTTCTACTTTGTATTGCCTAAGACTTTTGTTTTGGAATGTGCAGTTGAATGAATATATATATATATATATATACACACATAGTATATTGCCAACTATGAACTACATCTATGTTATTATGGTGTAATTAGGCCTGAATTTGTGATTCGATAAGATGATTGTATGGTGAGGATGAATTATTAATGCATGTGTATGTTTTGATATGAAAATATCGATGTCATGCACTACTAGAAAAATAAAACTTAACAAGGAAAAAATCTCTCACTAAATGCTATTTTCTCTAGCTAAATTACATTTTAGCGAAGAATTTTGTCCCTCGTTAAATTCATAGCTAAAAAAAGGCTTACTAAATTTAATAAGAAATCTTATTTTCCTCACTAATTAGTGAAGTATTTAGTCCCTTGCTAATCCCTCACTAATTTAGTCAGTGATTAGCGAGGGACTTTTGATAACTTTAATAGGGATTAGTCCCTCACTAAATATGTCTATATTTAAAAATAATGATGCCGCATCACCTGCCATGTGTTCATCAACTTGTGACATGTCACCAACAACCTTGTGCCTCATCAACCGCCACCATATCACCTACCATCTCGTGCCCCATCACCCATTACATGTGCAACAACTCATGACATATCATTATCTACCTTGCGCTATGTCACTTACTCCTTATCATGTCATACATTCATTATTTTTATGCAAAAGCCATGACTTGAACCCTTGACCTCATACCTTTCAAGTCTTGTGCTCTCCTTCTTTGCCAGT